AGGAGGAGGAGGAGGAGGAGGAGGAGGAGGAGGACGATAGGATCCTTGGTGCTTTCTGAGCTTGATTGCTTTTGTTTTTGTGCAACTAGGAAGTATCATCAGTGCTAGAAGCGAGTGGGGTTTGTGGCAAGGAGGAGGAGGAGGAGGAGGAGGAGGAGGAGGATTATAGGAGTCTTGGTGCTATTTGAGCTTGGTTGGTTTCTTGCAGACATTTCATTACCCAACTAGTGGGGTTTGCAAGGCACTACCAAGAAGAAAACAACATTTGCGCCAATACTGACAGGGCAAGCCTAAACGGATAGCAAACCTCACTCCCTTCTAGTGCTGATGATGTCACTTAGTTGGGTCATGAAACATCTGCAAGAAAACCAACAGACTCAGACAGCACCAAGGACCCTGAGCTACAAATATTCTTTTCTATTGATATTCCTAGTTACATAACTTGATCTCATTCTGGAATTAACCGATTGGAGTGTAATCTTATCCAAATGGCAACGTGCTAAGCCAACAGGAAAACGCTCATCCCAAATTAAAACGAGACAGCTTGTTCCGCAGGATTCTCTCTTTATTTTATTGCCTTGATTAAAGATATTGTCTGAATGCAGTTCATGTGTATGTATAAGAAAGAGATTGGAAAAGAGGTGGAGTCCATTTGCTTTTCCTTCTGTTTCTGAGCAATGGGGTGAATGAGGGGTCCTTGGTGCCCTCTGAGATTGCTTGTTTTCTTGTAGACTTTTCAGCAACAGTCAGCACTGATGATGTTACCTAGTTGGGTCAAGAAATGTCTGCAAGAAAACAACCAAGTTCAGAGAACACCAAGGATCCCATAATCCTCCTCCTCCTCCTCCTCCTCCTCCTCCTCCTCCTCCTCCTCCTCCTCCTCCTCCTCCTCCTCCTCTTGCCTTTCTCTTCTTCCTCCTCCTCCCTGCAAACCCCAGTCCTTTTAGCATTGATGATGTTACCTAGTTGGGTCAAGAAATGTCTGCAGGAAAACAACCAAGCTCAGAGAGCACCAAGGACCTCTCATGTCAACCTTGAGCTACAAATATTCTATTTAATGGAATGAATTTTCCCTCCAGAGCAAAGGGGCCAGAGAGAGCTAAGTTTGCATGTAAGCACTGTGCTCTGTTTGTGGCATAGTTAGGCATACATTTATAATATTTCAGACTTCATGATTTATATTTTTATGTCTTGTGGGTTTTTTTTTATTGAAATGTGATGTGAACATGCCTTATGATAAATAATAATAACGTAGCATAATATGTTGTATGAATCCAGCTCTTTATAGCATATCCAATAATCTAAAGCAAAGGAAGCCATGATTTACAGCATTCCATTTTGCTTTACTCAATCAATCAATCAATCAATCAATCAATCAATCAATCAATAATTGAAAACAATCCGTAGCTTGGTGCAGTGCCTGAACTTCAAAAATAGGACCAGGTAGTATCCAGAAGCCACAAATTTAGCCTATATTCAAACTAATTTTAAAAACTATCAAGTAAGTTGTAATAAGTTCTCCATGCTGGTTGGGGAATTCTGGGAGTTGAAGTCCATGCATCTTAAAGTTGCCATGGTTGACAAAAGCTAAAAGAAGGGAGGTGCCAGGATTCTGGAAGTTACCCCCATTTAAATCATGAGTCTCGAGCCAAACTTCCAAAACTTCTAAAGGATTTATTGGGGGTTAACATGTCCGGCATTGCCTGGATGTAGCTGACTCTGAGATACGTAATTCATTGTCACCCTTGACCCTGGTTCCCACCCCCCACCCCCCGCCGGGATGTATCATAATTCCTATTCTCCAATGGGACACATCCCTAGCCCAGAGTCATCAATCATGCTTTCCAGTTAGGGCAGAAATTTCAGTCACCTAGTTGCTATCTTTGAAAACTATTTATGGAATGCACTTTTGGTTTGGCTGCTGTACTGCTCCCCCTTCCCTTTCTGTTGGCAACTCTAAAAAGACCAGAGAAATATTTTATGAGTTGACAGGAGGGACTATATTACAAATGATAACATCCTGAGTACTAATAATTTATGGTTCCTATCTTTGGATTTTCTGCAGCTGCTCCCAGGATTATAAATATCTCTGTCCAAGCTGGGCAGGACCATGACCTCCGTGCCAAGTGCACGGCCGAAGGTGAGCCGCTGCCCACGCTGATGTGGGCTGGTCCCCTGTCTGGAAATGCCACCTCAGTGTCCAGCACAGGCCACCAGATCACCAAGGAGCTTCAGCACCTGTCTCATGATGGGAAATACACCTGTGTGGCCACCAACAGCCACGGCAGAGCAGAGGGCACAGTCTACTTCTACAAGTTCAAAGCTGGAAGTGGGTCCTGGATCATGATTCTCTTGTACGTAGCTTTGGGGATCAAGTTCATGGCCCTACTGGTGATCTTAGGGATTGGGGCCTTCTGCAAGGGAGGTAGGTATCGCTCGTTTAATTGCCTGTGACAGCTGTGTAGATCAATGGTCGCCGACCAGCGGGCCGGGGCCCACTGGTGGTCCGCGAGAAAATTTTGGTGGTTCACAGAGAAATGTCCCCCCCAAAAAACAATTAATCCAGGCTGCGTGGGAACACAAGGCTGCACTGCCCACATGGCCCACCCACCCGCTGACCCCCACCCTTCGGCCGAGCACAAACCTTACCTTGAGTAGAGCCACACGAGCTGGAGGTAAGACCAACGGCGGGGGAGGGAAATCCTCCCCGGGGTGGCTTGCTGACATTGGTGGGAAAGTCGGTTCCATATGCCAGAGCTGCAGTAGTCACAGGACTGGCCCTTTGGTCATCCCGGAGCAGCTCCTCCAGTCCATGGCAGGCCGGTGCACCCGGGTGGGGGAGCAGCTGCTCCAGGATGACCAAAGGGCCAGTCCTATGACTACTGCAGCTCTGGAATATGGGACCAACTTTCCCACCACCATCAGCAAGCCACCGTCAGTCAAAATTCATATTAGTGGTCCACGGGATTTAAAATTATGAGTTTGGTGGTCCCTGAGTTCCAAAAGGTTGGCGACCCCTGATGTAGATCAAGAGAGGGCAGGCTTGGCTTGAGTTCAAGCAGCCAGTAAACCCCAATGTTGGATCTCTGACTTAGTTGGAGCTGATTCAGTAAACCATGGTACAGTCGCTCCTTGTTTAGTGACCACTTCATTTTGCAATCATTCACAAAGATGATAGTAATTTTAAAAAATCATTTTCCCAACCAATGCATGTATTTAGCACCGAATTTCATGTGCCTGGTAACGAACGCCCCCCAGAGTGAAATAATTAAAGTCTTGTCAGTTTCAGGCAGCAGCCAGCTCAGAGCTGAGCTTGTTAGTTTGCGGTGAGGAGCAGTGTGCTGCGAAGAAAAGTAGATCAGGAAGAGCTGGCAACCATTATGTTTCACAATCAAGTTGTTGGAATGGAATGTCAACTTTAAACACGGCGTGGTTTTATAATGAACTAGTTGATGTGTTATTTGAATCCAGAAAGGGTACAGGTAGTCTTCGATGTACAACTACAACGGAGCCCAAAATTTCTGTTGTTAAGTCAGACATTTGTTAAGTGAGTTTTGCCCCATTTTATGACCTGTGCACTACTTGTACTGCCAATGATATGTAGCATTACTAGTTTAAGCAGCACCTAAACCACAATTTGGGTTTGTTTGACTTAGTGCAAGGGTCCCCAACCTCTGGACCACAGTCCACTACCAGGCCATGACCTATTCACAACCAGGCCACGAGTGGTGGGCCAGCACACACATTCAGCACACACACAGCCCAACTCACACGAGCAGCAGGCACACACACACACACACACACACACAGCCTGACTTGCACAGGTGGTGGGAGCCAGCGCTTGCAGCCCCATTCACACAAGCGGTGGGCATGTCCCTGTTCCTCACGCAAAACCATGCCTTCTTCCCCACCTCCCACTGGGAAGGTTGGGGAAGGCTGGCTTAGTGCATTGTGTAAACACCATTGTGGTTTATGAACTGTGGCTTATATACAGGACCAAATATTTGCATGAACAGTTCTCACCAGTCAGTTGCAATTTACCAATATGTTAAGCTTGGTGAATTTTAACCTTTTCACTTTTCTAGCGTGGTGTTTGGTGTGGACACAATCTATTTGGTTGGTTGGCTGTTGTCATGCCCTAGAATATAACTTTTATATACTGTTGTTGCTCTCTAGCCCCATCTAATGGCCGGAGGGATAAATAGGCCCCAACATGCCATCTTTATATACTATTGTTGCCCTCTAGCCCCATCTAGTGGTTGGACAGACAAATACCAAATATATTGTTTGAAGCTGACCCAACCTCTTTACCCATCAGCCCGCACTCTCAAAACAAGTGCATGCTGGGAAGCAGACTCCATTTTCTTTGGTATTTGGAGAAGGCAGAAACACAAAGAAGAATCCATCTTAATCTGTGGCACATGGTCATCCAAGTACCAACCCACATCCCACACACAGAGCACTGCTGTTTCACCATATCCTGTTCTTTCAATAAAGTGTTCAGATCTACGCACATGATCTGTTTTATTGGAGGATAGGTGGGTTTAGCTGCATCTTGAGCTGCATGCAGACTAAAGTGTAGTGAGGACAGAACAGTTGTTCAGTTTAAGGGTGTTGGATGAAGACAGTCAACGTAGGATTATTTCAATGATTTGATGCAACTATAAAGATGGTAAATGTTGAGACAGAGACACAATGGCAAATTATCAGAGAACTAGCATATTTGTGCATCCTCTAAGCCAGAGTTCTCCAAACTTGGCAACTTTAAGACATGTGGACTTCAACTCCCAGAAGTGCACAATTCTTAAAGATGTCAAGTTTGGAGACCTCTGCTCTAACCAGTAATGTCCTACCACCTGGATTGAAGGATTATCTGGTGCTCAAGTTGAGCTATCCTCTTTTCAGCTGCAAAATATCTCATCCAAGCCCAGGTGCTTCAACCTTACTTCCAAAGTTAAATCCACAAGATCTTTCAAGGAAGAAAACCAACATATGGAAAACGAGGCTCTGATGTAGCCCCTTGTCCAATTTTTAGTTTTTTAAATGTGAAGAAACTAAATAATGTGGCCTATCAACTTTGATATGGAACCTGAAGAAAGAGCATAACTCAACGTTTTTTTATTTGCCTAACTCTTTAGTCTTGTGGATTTCAACTCCCAGAATTCTCCAGCCAGCATAGGGTTAGAGGATGCAAAAGTGTGCTAGTTCTCTGATCATTTGCCATTGTGTCTGTGTCTCAACATTTATTATCCCTATAGCTGCATCAAATCATTGAAATAATCCTACGTTGACTGTCTTCACCCAACACCCCTAAACCGAACAACTGTGTGCAGCTCGACATGCAGCTAAACCTACCTATGCTGGCTGGAGAATTCTGGGAATTGAAGTCCACAGGTCTTAAAGTCATGAAGGTTGGACAACCTGTGATGTAACTTAACAAGGTCCTGGGCCATTTCAACCTTCTTAATATAATGTGCACGTAGGGATAGTTTAGCAAGAAATACATGCATATTTTTCCATTAGTTTTCTTACCTTTTGCATTACAGATAACTTTATGGTCCCAATCAGCTTTTCACGGTAAGAGCCTCTTGAGTCTCGTTTGAATAGAAGCACATTTCTAGAGGTTATTGATCTTGTGGCAGATTCCACAACTTAGATGGAAAAGGAGAGGGTTTGCTTTGCAGAATTTCAGTTAGACAGAGTTGCTATTTTTAACACTTGTGTTCCTAATAGGAAGCAGCCCACAACTAGACCTGGGCATGGTGTGGCTTGGTGGGCATGGCAGGAGAAGGATACTGCAAAATCCCCATTCCCACCCCACTCCTGGGGGAAGGATACTGCAAAATCCCCATTCCTGCCCCACCCCACCCCACTAACCTGCTTTCCAGCTCCGTTCTCCTGTGCAGGGCAACCAAAGGAGACCCAGCCAATCAACTGGGACTTGGGAGGCAGAGAAGAGATGAGGGTGGGGCCAGTCAGAGGTGGAATTGGCCGGTTCTTCGAACTACTCAAAATTACCATCACTGGTTCTCCAGTGGTCAGAACCTGCTGAATACCACCTCTGGATAGATAGATGATAGATGATAGATGGATGGATGGATGGATGGATGGATGGATGGATGGATGGATGGATGGAT